CTGGAAAACGTATCCTACTCTAGGCTGAATGGCACTTTCTCATTTTTTGTGTAATACTTTATTGCTTATAATAAAGCTGAACAGCGCTCTGCCATCAGATTCTCTGTTGAATATCTTGCCCTGACCAAGGGTAAATGATACCCTGTGATTGAAAACCTTGTCCTACATCCAGACTAAATCATACCTTGCTGTCAACAAAACTGGCTGCTTTCTGACTGGTTCGACTGCATGCAACCCTGGCCAAACTTGATATGGGAGGCTCTGGTAGATCTGAGCACAAGATTCACATGATATTCACACGCACACACAAACATGCATGCACACACTTGCGTATGCATGCACATGCACACACTTGCGTATGCATGCACATGCACGTTACAGTCTTAACATCACACATTGCATTAACTTAATATACTGTAAAATCTGTATTAAAAGCTGTGGCCTCTATTATAATGGTACAATGCAACAGAGGGGATGCGGCTTCTATTAGAGCATCTACACATATGAGAAAGTGATTTTTGGGTCTCAATTGTTCAAAAAGAATGGGTGCGGCTTCTATTAGGAATGCGGTTTCTAATACAGATTTTATGGTAGTTGAGATATGAACTAGATTAAAACGTGTTCATATATGGGGCCGAGTTTCATTTGAAGTTCAATTAAACTAGATTAAAATGCAATACAATGTAGAATTGAGTTTTAATTAAGTTTAATTTAATAAAAGTTGAAATAGTTTGCGAAGCTTAGATTTAGTAAAGAGGGAAGGTATGGTACAAGAAATTGAACCATACCTTTCCCCATTACTAAGCCCAAGCTTAGCAAACTTGACTTAAATTCAATTAAATATTAATATGAATTATGAAAATAGTGAGGGTCGTCAGAATGTAGATCATGTCGTCACAAGTCGGAGTAAAGTTAGATTGAAGTCGTCACAACATTGGTACCCCACACACACACATGTATGCACACTGGGAAAAAAATTTCTTCTCACCAAATCAATTCAAATGTTATTGTAAAGACGATTAAATCAATTGAGGACTGCACACACAAGTGAACACACGATAACAAATATTTTGTTGAACAAAGTTTAATAGACAACTCCATAAATAATTACCAATTTGTCTCGCAGTATTCTATGAAATATATTCAATTAAACAGACATCGTCCCCTCCCCTCCCCTCTATCATCCTCCCATCCAACCCAAGTCAACCAAATAGTTTAACCCAAAATGCATTGTTCCCAATGCATCACTTTGCAATAAACGGAAGACGCCAATACATTCTCGGGGATGCAATTGAGATTTCTGCAGGAGAACTCCCATTTTAATTTCTTTTTTATAAAAAATAATTTATTCTAGACATCTTCAAGGTGGCAAATTCCAACTTAAAATGCTAAAACCTGAAATAACACCCTTTCTAACCCAATCAGATCCAAGACTAAAAAAAAAAAAGAAGAGTTTTATTCATCGTCCATATTTGCCAGCTGACAATTTGAAGCCAAGTGATGAGAGTTCAATGCAGAAATACATAAATATGCATCATCAAGAAGAAAATTATGCTACACTAACGTACACATGCAATTATATTCATAGAGAGAAAAATTAGTTTCCCATTTGACTGCTGTCAAAATAATTTCAGTGGTAAGTTCATGGTACAGACAAGCAAGGAATCCCCATGTTATAAAATGTAACCATTAATATCAAGCCGTGTGTGTATATTGTAATACAAAACCTTGCAAATCCCTTTATATACACATACCCCCCTCCCTCCATGTCTCTTTGAAGTACTGCACTGTTACCATGTAATATGAAAGTTTGGCAAACACCGAAATAAACCAATTATTCCATATATATATATATATTAGACACAATTTACTAAATTGTGAGTGTATGGATTAAAAAAACACAATATTCATGAATGCTTTTTACATTTTCTCTAAGCGATTCAGCATTATGGAAATCAAACAAAAGTGCAAATAAAAGTTTCTTACAGCCCTTCACAGCACTACCATGCATTCATAATCAATGTCTACCTGGCCGTCTCCTCATTAAATGCCAGCATAATTCATATATGATGTAAAATAGTAAAAAAAAAAACGTGCAAGGTGAGAATATGCGCTATAAAATTATAAATGTCATGGGAATTAGTCCACACCACAACTGATCAATGTAGAATATTTAATTTCAGGTGTTATCACCCAACTCTGCATGTAGAAGAAACAAATTCACTGTCTCAAACTTTTTTCTCAGATTGGAAAGTCTGCAATGAAATACTGAGTACTTTCCCACCTCTTTACTTCAACGTCTATTCTATTTTTTCACTTCCTTTTCTTTGAACAAATGTGGCTAGAAATACTAAAATATTGTTTGAGTGAAATGAAGGGTTTTAAGAAACTCAATCACGTAATCTAAAGAAAAAAACAGAAAAAGAATCATACTGTGGGGAGAGGGATACAATACTTTGGGGGAGAAACAAAGGAACAATACCTATTTTGTATAAAAGACAATGGAATGATAACAATACAACTTATTGTCTAATCATCGATTACAATGGGTTCTGGCGGAATAGGTGGGGGTGGTGGCTGAGCATATACAGGTAGTTTGATACCAGTCGAAGACCAAGGACGACGTGCAATTCTTCTATGTTGCGATAACGTCATCTGTTTTCGTAATTTCCTACAATAAACAAATGTAAAACATTTTAAATTTATGTTAGGAACTTTTTCAGCAGTATAATCAAAGAAAGTTTAGAAAAAATCTACTGTGTTCTAAAGGTATTGGAAGCACATATCCAATGCACATAAAGCAAAAATTATATGCGTTTTTATACAAAATCAAAAGTATGTCTTATTTCAACCACAGACCTAGTTTGAGATTTTACAGTTATACATATCAGGTCACATGACCATATATGGGAATGTGGTAGGCTAGTAGTTTTTGTTAAATGCCTTTATTGTAGCACAGATTGCATGTTCTGCAGCAGTGCTTAATAAGTACAGTTAAGCATATTATCACACGACCCCATTTATACAAAGTAGGTAATTAATATGCATAAATTACAACCCTGAAGTAATCAGATTTGTGTTAATTTTTTGTTGAGACTGTTAAAAAATGCAATTTATTAATGTGTAAGCAAATGTGTATCAACCACAAATTACTCCTTAGCCCACAATATTGTTTTTCAGTCACAACTCTTGATATTGAAATACAGTAAGTAACAGGATTTTAGAAAGATTTATTGCAGTAACGTAGTTTATGAAACAGGTATTCACAATTTGACAGATGTCCATTCCCTTTGGA